AGGGCGCTGACAGACTTCCGCGGCCCGCCCGCTCTGCTGCCACGGAAGTCTGTCAGCGCCCTGTGGAGTTCCTGAGTTGCTGCTGTACAGTATTTTGTTTTATAATGGCTCCATTTCACACTCCAATGCAGCTGACTTACCCTACTGTATTTCACTCTTCTTAATTAGATTTTGCTCGTTATTCCTGAGCCCCTCCACAGCCAAAGCAGCGCAGAGCCATGGCTGCTCTCTGTGCTAAAGCAGCCCCAGGGGCTGCACCCACACACGCTGGAAGAGAGAAATGTATGTTTTGTGCCAACGTGAAGGTGGACAGCCAAGGAGCCCGGTCAGGCAGCAGCCAGGGGCGCCGGCAGAGGCAAGCCCCTGCTCAGGTGGCGCACCCGTGTGTCCCTTGGTGTCCGTGCTCGCCCCACACACCACGGAGCCCATTCCTGCCCTGCTCCGGGCACACCTCCTCCCATCTTCCCCCTTCCTGCTCTCCCCTCACTCTGAATATAGGGGAGTGTTTTCTAGAGGAGTGAATTATCTGATAGTTATCTCTCACTCCAAAGGCTCTCGGTGCAATATACAGCTCCTGACGCCCCTGGACTTGTAGGAATTTATAGCAGTAGATTGACAGGAAGTTTTTTTCTGCAGGTTGTTTATATTATTGTAAGCTGCTTAGGAGGAAAGCTTTAACAGAACGCTAGATAAAAAGAAAATGGGTTTTAAAACCTCCAGTCACTCTTCTTTCTTAACTTGTTCTTGAACAAATAAATGTGAGCCCTGGGAAGATACCTGAAGGCACTTTCACAAGAAAAAAGCGTGGAACACAGCAGAATGCGATGGGCAAAACATTGTCTGCTCAGCGTTTGGCAACAAAAAACCCCACTGAAAACCTGGGGGAAGAGCAGGACCTGGGCAGTGAGGTCAGACTATGAATGAAGGCACTCGGGTATGTGAATAAATAAATGGTCCTTGCTTTTTCTACCAGTAGGATCCCATATCCTGCAGTATCAGGTATCTTAATAGCTATTGATTTTTTTCTATATTCTGCCCACAGCTAGAGCAAAATTTCATTCAAATGAAAAACTCATGAACATGCTGGCAGTTATCCTGGGTGAAGGAAAGACAAAGGATTGGGAAACAGAACATTAAACAGAATATTTATTTTAGCATTACACAGAGGTCCCATTCAGCAAAGAAGGACCTTCAGCAATCCCAATGAAAATTATTTCAGACTAAGGACAGAAATAGAAAGTTTCCTCTCATCTGCAGCAATACTGAAGTGACACCTTTTGGGAGACAATTGCATGTCTTTCAGTCACTTAATACATCCTTATCTGCCCCAAGGGCTTGCCCTGTTGAGAGAAGAGCAGCACAAAAAGTAATATAAAATCTCCCAGGTGGTGCCATGTGGGCAGCCTTCCCCCATCATCCCGAGCAGAGAGAGGAGCTCAGAGCCAGGGGAAAAGTCTCTCTGACTGTCAGTCCATGAAGTCCAATGGAAACATGGGGAGTGCTGTCAGGACAAAACCAGGATCATTGCTTGGGATTCATGGCAATCCAAGGGAGCTGAAACCTTCACATGAAGAGAAATGAGAATCAAGTAGTGACTCAGCCTGTCCCATTGGATGATGCCGAAAAATAAAGCAGTCTGAAAAAACAGTCTCAATCCTATGGTTCTCAAGTGCTGAACACAGGGGAAAAGCAATTTTCTCTGTCAGCACTGCTGGTTAATAGGGGCAGACCAAACAGGTTTACTTTTAAGTGCCTGTCTTCAGTCTGGAGGACAAAGGTTTTCTCCAGGCAGGGAGAAGATATCAGTTGGTCTAAGTGAAGTCTCAGCAGGAAGTTTCCCTGCAAAATACAGAATTTAAATCATTTATTTGCATTTCTTGTATTTGAACAGGATACTAAGAGAGAGAAAGAAAGAGAAACCTGGTAAGAGCAGTCAGCTTCCTTGGAATGGGAACTACAGACACAACAGTGAAAGGGCAGCTCAGTTCCTGTGCAAAACATGGTATAAAGCCTAGCAATTCTCAATGGTAAAAATAACTCAGAGCAAATTCACAACTCAGAGCAAACTGAGCAGCAACAATTCACAGTTTACTCAGTAAAAAAGTACATTTCTGTAGTATATTCTCTAATATTTTAGCATATTCGTTACTGTGTAGCAGGAGCACAAAATGTACGATGGAGATGGAGATGCAGGGAGTCAAAGAGGGACTTGGACTTGGACTTGGAAGGGAAAGCTATTGCAAACTCAAGAGAAAACAAAGCTTTTTGTCCTGCTATGCTACCTTGCTCAACTGGAGAATTAGAGGTTTAGTATCTGTGGTATTAAAGCATGTTTTTAGGTAGAGGCAGAAGTGGGCTAAGGAACCACAAGAAAAGGGAACGGATCCTGTGTTGCTGGAGCTCAAGTCTGTAGAATGCAGCCCACAAATACAGAATTGGAGGTTGGGATTATAGTTCCATGATGATGAAGTTAGCAGGGAGAGTTGAACAGAGGGGTAAACTGCAAAGGTTTTGATCTCTGTGGAAGAGGTTAAGTAACTCTCAAAGAGTCATTGATCCCTATCATACTTTCACCCATCCACTTCAGCTCCACCTATCAGTCTGGCTGTCAGTGCATGGGAAAGAGTTCCCTCCCTTCAAAGCGACAACACAGAAAGTGAATCTGCTTCTGGGCAGGTGGGAGGTGAATTGTTTGTGTCCTGGGATGAGTATCTTCTCAGGCACCCTGCTGCCTCTAGGATCAAACAGGAGCCATCAGGGGAGTCAGTGGCTTCTTTCCCTGGCTTTGCCCTTTGTGCTGTGTGCAAGAACAAACTTCTGACACCTATATGGGTACAGATGGCTCCATGCTTTCTTCAGCAGTAGCCCTAAAGAAGTACCTGAAAATAGACTGACCTTTTGATTATACACAGGCAACTTGCCTGCTCTTTTAGCTGATGCTGTTGAGTTTTCCCAAGCAATCTCTATACATAAAATAGGAGCCATTTTAAAAGAAAATGGGTTCATCAGGTCAGTGGTAGTGTAATTCTGGAAAGGGTATGAAAGTGAGGAAGTAATGATAATGCATGAATTGAAGGACTGATATAATTTGCCATAGCTGCACTGAGGTAAGGAATTGTAAATAAAACTTCCTGTCTGTCTGGAACATAATGAGTTCCCTACCTTTTAACAGTGACTGCAAAATAAATTAAAAGAAAACACATACTGCCTTCCTTCACTTGCAGATAGTATCTATTTATTAAGGTAAAAGGAACAGTGACAGAGAATACTGCTTCTGCACAACAATACTTGCATTAACTCCAAAGTCCTGGCCACTGCTTAGATGAAGAAAGTAGGGGGAATGATACTGGTATGGGAATAAAGTGATCTGAAATTTCCACTGACAGTAAGATAGGGAGAGTAATGGGCAGTGGAGGCTTGTCCCTAACCTTCATGTAGCTTTTCTTGTGCTGGAAGGAACAGTGATTCCTCCCAGCGATTTTAGGGAAGGAGAGGATGTTTGAAGGCAATGACTTTCTCTGTGAGAGAAGTATTATTAGTGGTGGTTAACTGCAGCCACTGCTTTTATAACTTTTTAGTGCTTCAGTACAGACACTGTCCTTACTGCTCTGAAATTTCAGACTGGACTTGCAAGTGCAGGAAGCCCAAGAACAGAAAGGGAACAGTAGTGCAAAAAGAGTGATGTGAGTAGGACTCCCAATAAAATGTCCATAGCCAGAATGGACTATGGTGGAGCTGAACAAGCTCACTAAAGGGCACACAACAGCTGAGTTTCTGAAATGCACAATCAATAGACACAACAGCTGAGTTTCTGAAATGCACAATCATTAGACAATACTTCTTATAGAACTGTGTGAAGATATCCTTTTACCTAGCTGGTGATTCAGATGTCCCACCAAGTTGCTGTGAATAGAGATATGGCTAAAAGCAAGCAAACAAGGAGAGAAAAAAATGGAGGAGGAAAGAAAAGACTGATTTTTACCTACACACAACAGGACTCTGTATAGTTACTTCTCATTCCCTTAAACCTCACCACAGGCAGGGACCCTATGTCAACCGACTGATCGAGGCCTCTGTGAACTATACATTTCCATTTCTTATCTGGAGAACAAAATGGAAACTATGGTAACAGAGACAGACCTGATGAAGTCCATCAAAGCCTGAGAAGGAAACTCAGTCTACCTCTGCCTAGAGCCTGTGACCTCTCTGCTAAGGCTCCCAACCAGAGGGGCGCTCCTCGTGACAGTATGATGGTGATATAAATAACTCTTACATAGACATAACCCACTGCACAATTGCGACTGATTTTCACCCGTGCTGTGCTTGGTCTCCTGGTTGGAAGCTATGTGCATCCCTCATTTCAGGGTATACCTCTTAAAAGGATATATCACTTAAGCTGTTATCCAGAAACTGAATAATCAAAAGCATTGGAATTTGGATTGGTAATTTTAGCTGAACCTGCTACATTTGTCTTAATCTATATTTATATAAAACACATCTGGAAATTGTGCCACGGTTGTAATTTGTAGCTTCATGTAAAATATATATAAAATACAAAGAACATTTCTGAATATACTGCTTTTATAGACAAACATAATTTCAAATTTTGCAGGTTTTCCGTCTTCTGAAGAAACAGATAGAAATTTAAAATATAGAATAGAAAACTTTTCTCCTAGGAAGTATAACAGTTTTTTATAATGCACTCAAAGGCAATTTACTGTGACACGTCTTAAAAAGTGAAGCTCATTTTTACAGTGTATGGGGAGTTTTTGCAGCATGGTAGAATTCCTGTATGCCTGTCAGCACAAAGAATAGTGTGTGAAGTACCATGTGGATTTAAAATGACCAAAAGCAGAGGCTAGTTTATAATTATCATTGCTATAGAACACAAAGTCTTTTTGGGGAGGCCTGGAGCAGGGTGTTTTGAGCCCCAGAAGAGAAAATAGGTCATTTATGTCAATGAGAAAAGGATGCATCTTGGCTCACTTTGCTTTCCCCCAGCTAGTAACAAACTGCATCCTGAGCTTAAAAGCAGAAAACCTGGTGAGGTCAGCTGTATTTGTGCCATTTTTCTTTCCAGGCTGATTTTTAACTCAGCCTTCAAGTGCTACAAGGAGATTCTTATTGTTACCAAAAAAAAAATTAAAAAAAAAATAAAATAAAATAAAATAAATACAGTTTGCCCTTCTTCCTAGAGGCACAGACTGGGCTGTTGCCCACACTGCCTGTGGATTCATCTGGATCCTGGCTCCTGGGGAAATCATGAGGAGCAAGCCTAGGACAAAGCCTGTGCCCCCAAGGTTGCAAAAGGCTGCTTCATGAACAGTTTGCCCAGTAACAGGGGCTGTAAGACAGAGCCAAGCTGTAAGCACTCATGTTTACACATTTGGGTTTTTTTTTAAACGAAAGGAGAGTTGGTAGTATTGGACAGACTGAATAGCAGCAATTGGCACACCCTGTTGTTGTTAATCCATTAGGTGGATGTAAAAGGGAACCCAGGTGAAGATACAGAAGCTACTATACTGTTGCCACTAGATTTGGGAACCTCTAGTGCTCTTACACTCCCCTTTGCACTGTCAAGGTACCTGGCCTTGCAGCCACTCAGCCTGTGTTCAGCACTTTGCTTAAGGTGCATCACATAAATACCTTCTGGCTCATGGTGATTTAGGAGCATTTGCACTGGAAAAATAGGAAAGAAAGTAGTGCTTGAATTGTCTACATAAACATGCTTAAAAACATACTCCCTTTTTGGTATCAGTTTGGCATATGTGATGAAGACTGAGAGATACAACTTTCAGCACAAAACTAGCATCATCTCTTGGAATATATACATAAGTGACAGACTCTGAAATGGAAGAAAAAAGGGAACATCAAAATTATTTAAGAGAAGCAAACAAAATCATAAATAGTGGTTTTGTCATGCATTTGCAGTATAGCCACAGCTCTGAAATTTTAAGTGCTAGTGTTGGAGAAAGAAAGCATTTGGCCAGGTGCAATCTGAATTCTAGTTCCAAATTATTCCAGAATCTGTCAAACAACTAATACACTAATAGATGTCTTTATCACAGCAGGAGCACAATCAGCTTTTGGCCAGATTTTTTCTTAGAAACTGTCACAGAATTAGTTTTATTCTAGAGTTACCAGTATCCTGTGAATTCTGGACCTCAGAGGATTTCTGAAACCATCATGCAAAATGAACATATGGATTAATTGCAGAAAGAATAGATACTATCACTTACCTCTGAAAAATAATCAATATTGCAGAAAAGGCTTGTAAGCAGAATTAAAAGGAGAGGTAATTTTCTTTAATCAGTGTTGAGCTATTATGCATTACCAATTTTCATTAGTACTTTTTGTCTGCCTGGAACAGACATATAAGAGGAGAAAGGGATGTATATAAAACTAGCTCAGAAAGTTCTATCACTTTTTATATGCTGTTCCTTGCCTGCCATTTAAAATTTTTTGTGTGTGTATACTTTTCAGCTTTCACACATTTTAAAATGATACAGTAGTATATCAATTATAATTGAGTGGCAATAAAAAATATTATTTCTCTCTTTGCTAGATGTATGGTGTGCGTGAGCCAAAGCAAAGATTTGTAGGCTGTGGAGAGATAATTTAAAAGTGTAATGGCTGCTAGTGCTTGCTTATGTTACTAACTTTGTTTTCTTTTCCCTTTTTTATATTTGTCATATAATTTTTACTGTGTCTTTTTCTCCTCTGAAAGCATTTCAAAAGACATTATAATCTACCACCTTGTCTTTTAGAAGGTCATTAGTCACACAAATTGTCATTTAAGCTGAACTTTAAATTTGATGAATTTTCTGTTTCAGCCTGTAAGAAATGAGACTGAAACTGGAAACAATCTTTATCCCAGACCAAGGCAAATTATGAGGGACACTGCAATGCCTGCCCAGCTGAAAGGATGTTCATGCACATGGGTTGAGGGAGAAGTGTGCATCTCAGCCAGGCCATTGCTACACCCTCCACATCTAACCTTTGAAAGGCTCCAGTGCCTCATAAAAGCCTATTTAAAACAACAACAGAACATTTTGAAAAATGAAGATTAAGACCTGGAGTGTAAAAGGACAATCTAAGCCTGCAAGAGTAGTGCAGGGACCTTCCACAGTGCACTGTTGCCTCGATATGCCACTCAACATAGTTAATGATACTTGGATTTTAGAAAACTGAACGGTACACCTGCAACTTTCAACCATTATGATATTTTGTAAGAAGGACCTTTCCTACTTTTCTAAAGTAACTGCTACAGGCACAGACCTAAAATGCAGAGAAGTGAGGATGCATTATTTCCAGATGTATTATTAACACCTTAAGTGCAATCCCAACCTTACCAACAAAAGTTTCAACTGACAGATTTAGGGGTTGAACAGTCCTTTCACTTTTCCCTTTCTCCTCATCTGACATCACACTGGCCAGCCCATACAGAGCAGCAGAGAGGGAAGGGGCAGCATCAGGCACATACTGCTGGTGGTTGCCACTTGCTGCCCACACTCCCCAGGGCACTCCTCACGATCACAGCCACATTCTGCACACAGGTTTGGTGCTGCAACATTATTCTCCATCTACAGAGCTCTGCTTCATGCAGTCTGATCTTCATTCATACTTTGTTACTGCAGTTTTCCATATTTGAAGGCTCACTCTAGGACAGAGCCATTTTTTGTGGCTGGAATCCTCCGTTTCACTCAGATTTGTTTCACATTGTATACAAATCACTATAAAAAATGTTTGGTGGAAAAGTAATTTATAAACAATAAATAGAACTATTTAGTGTCTGTTTTTATCAGTGCAGACCAACACAGCTCTTAATTGCAAGACTGAACTGGTCCCAAAGCAAAGGCCAGCTGTGTCTAATCATCCAGGGGATGGACCAGAACACACCGAATAAAGGAAATGGAAAGTAACGCCAAAATGTTTTAAGATGTAAAATGACACAACGTTCAATGAACACTTGCCAACATCATCTCTAATTACTGCAGTGATTAAGTAGTAAAGAATTTGGTCCCAAAGGGTTTGCAGTTCTGAAGGAAATACAGTGCCATGTGTTACAGAATTTTTTCTTGCAAATCATTATGGAAATCCTGCTTCCTCTGGTTCTCCTAACAAACTCCTTCTTTGCAAAACCATGCTTTATTTGGGAAGTGCAGAGGGAGTGTAACTTGCCTGCTTCTGAAGATTTATGTCTTTATTGCCATGTATTCAACTTGCCTTTTTTAAAAAATCCTTTTATGTCTCTAAAGAAAGAAGCATAGAAAGCATTATGTATTTGCATACTGTAAGGGTTCCTCTCATCCTTGCTGAAGAACAAACAGGGAATAGGGGAGGGCTAGATAAAAGCATCAAGACCTTAACACAGCATGGCAATGGCCTAACAAACAGCCAGAGAAACTGCAATTAATGCAAGACCAGTTTAAAATCATAGTCCCAGGGGACACCTTAGAAGACCTTGTTTAGAATATTTTCTTCTTTTTCATAATTCTATTAACCATGAGATCAAAATTTTTCCAGCTTAAAAAAACCAGGAAGCACAACAAAAAAAAACTCAGGTTGAATAACAAAAGCATTTGAATTTATTTTAATTTACGGGTTTAAACTTTCTGTAACTCTGGATCAAATTGTCTATTGTACAAGCAAAATATGTCTCTCACCATAGCATTCTCATGTTTATTGTGTTTTATTCTCTCAGCAGGTGTCCCTAGATGTATGCTGTGTTGTCGTCTTTTCATTCAGCAAAGGAAATGGAAAAAAATCCTTATCCTCTTGAAGATCTAGAATAGAAGACAAAGGACAGCACGGGAATAACCATGGACCTCCTTCTCTGTTTTGTCCTGATTTTTTTTTCATCAGATCCCTGTCTCTGCTGTTTTCCTACCCTTTGCTATACAAAGCTTCCAAACATGCCATGGCATGTTCCACAAAGAAATATTTAGCTCTCACAAGGCACTTTTATCAGCACACCAAAGCAACACAATTATCCCCACTTCACTGGTGCAAACACCAAGACTCAGACATGGTCTGGAATATGTGTGGAATATGCACAGCAGGGAGATAATGCTGTGTGTTCCCAGGCCATGAGCGCCATAGATATCCATCGGAAATGGGGCCCTTCTGCCCGCCGTGCGCAGAGAGGTCAAGGGAGAGGAGAAGGAAAGAGAGGCACTAGAGTATAACACCTTGGGGCTTAAGCTTTCTGTTGTCCTGAGGAACATACAGAACCAGTCAAATTCTATACAAACAAATAAAAACAAGATCAAGTGATTTCAGACATAGCTTTTAGAGAAAAATCTAACACATGGTTAAATGTGAGTGTGAAATGACAACGTGGGCAGCCCCCGGCTGTCAGCTGTGCCCCAATAGCCTGGCTGTGCCTGCTGCTGGGATGTGGTCAAATGTATGAGCAGAATGAAAAACAAAACCAGCTACAGTAGTAAATTAAAATGCTTTCTCTTGCTTCTTAGTAGAGAGGAGGTTTAGCTGGAAAGGCAACAGATGCTCTGAATTTCAGTGTTTAAAATGAGACATTGAGACTCTTCCTTTTTAGCCAAGTTGTTACGAGTATGGGAGAAGATGCTCTTTTTTTTCCTCAGCATTGAATAAGATGTTAAACTTCTTTTCTAAGCTCATTTCATGAATCATTCATGATCAAGTACAAATCCTCACAAACTCACAAGCTTCCTGGTCGAGAGCACTGAACCAGCAAGAAGACTGTTTAGGGAGATTTAATGGGGAATGCCAAAACAGTTAAAAATACGACTGGAAGGATCATAAGCAGTAGGTGAATTCATTGGACCAGAACACTTATCTGTTGCTTCAGTCCCATTTGTACTATCAGCAGTGCTGATAATAAAAGTGTTGCAGATTTTGCAAAGAACTTCAGATTCTCAAATTCTAATTTTATTTTTTTTTTCAATGTGTCTGTAGTTGTTATTTCTGTGAAGGGCATCATGCCATCCTGCAGCACTTGTGACTCACTGAAATTCTTTTTTTGAGACTTAGCAGTATGAAGTTCTAAGTAAGTCATGCAGAGAAAAATGCTCATTTTCAATAAAATAAATCAAATTGTGTTTACAGTGACCAAAAAACTTCCAATAAATATTTCCCCCACAAAATCTGCCAAGACAACCAAATTTAGAGGGAAATAGATTAGCTGACTGGCAAATGTATTGAACTGAGACCACACGTTTGGGAAGCACTGAAAGGAAAAGTTTGCATGCAGTTTTTCCTGTCCCCTTTCACTCATTCAGAAGGTGCACGTTTCTCTGGCATCTGCTCCCATTACTCATAATCTTGCTGAGGGAGGACACAAACGGAAGAGGGATGGGTCTGGTCAGACATGCTATGGGAGAAGGAAGGTTAAAAGGACTCAATGGCTGTAAAAGGAGCAAAGAAAGTGTACCCTGCATGTGAAATGGCCAGGTGAGGGTTAGGTTACAACCATGCTGCATCAACAGCACAGCCAACACAAAGAGGACAGTCAGCCTTCAAAGCCCCATGGCAAGGAGAGCTGCCTCTCCTTGCATCAAATTTCCCAGCACTGCCTCCCCACTTTCCAAACAGGTCTAGTTGTTTTTCCATTTCCACTGGTGGAGGTTGGATGTCACCCAGCAGCAAACATAGTGGTGACCCTCAGCTGATGATTTGGGAAATGAACACACATGTTCAGAGGCTCCTAATTCCTCAGGGCTGGAAACCTCTAGTACCCAAATTCTTCTACATCTATCTAACATTTGGTTGTACTATCTCCAAACCAGACCTGTGCTTTCTGGCAGCACCAGGGCGAGCTCCCAGAGGCACCAGTCTGCAATTACCTGTCAGAAATATGATACAAGAGATTAGGAATGGCAGGCTCCACCTCTGTCACTCACCAAAAAAGGAGACTGGACAAAGCCATTCAGTCATGATTTTTCAAGTCCTGTAACACCTGCCTGATGTTATCAAAACACAGGAACTACTGTAATCAGAGACCTCACCTACAACATTTTCATACAAACTGAGCACACCCAAAATGCAATGAGAAACTAATTAGACTCTTCTACAGCTTGATAGTTCATATTTTTATTTAAAGCTTAGGTGTAGTGGAAAGATGTGTTAAAAATGATGATAGGCTAAACTTCAATTTTTTTAAAGAAAACAACTGTGCTCTAAAAAAGGCATACAATTATTCATTTATGTTAAGTGTCAGCTGTTTCTGTTTTCTATTAAAACAGCTCTGGATTTCTTTTTTTGCTGCATTAAAAGAAGATCAAGAGGTTTTAATATTTTAGGCTTGTGCTGTTGTAAAAACAATCACATGTTCCTAAACTCTTCTAAATTGCATTTGAACAGAAATGTACATAAACTTTCACCTTTTTGAAAGAGTAAAATCTATGTATGGTCTTGAAAAGGGCACTAAATGGCTCGTGCATTTAGAACTGGATGGCAAACTCTTTTACTGCAGTGTCTGAGATGTCGCTGCTGGCCTTTGCTATGGTGTCAAGCATCAGCCTTAGTGGCATTGCAATTTCCCTTCTGGAAACAAGTTGGTATTTGTGGACCATATTACACTGAATGAAATTTGCAGTCTCTGATGCCTGCTAGTGGGACATTTGTTACATGCTCTGTTTTGAATGTAGTAATACATATTTCAGTGTGGCTCTGCTTCTTCAAAAGATTAAAAACCTTTTAGTCCTTTGAGACTTGTGTCAGCATCCGATTTCATGTGCACGGTAATTTTTAAATATTAATACGGGGCAAGGTCATGCTCTCTTTAACCCCCAAAACAGAGTTAGTAAATCATGATCTGGCAGTAAAAAAATATACAGAGCACATCAGTATTTGTTCAGGGCAAAATCTAAATTTAAATTAAACTAAATTGGCTACTGGTATATTTATAATCACATATACGTTACATCTTATTTGTGGGCAGGGAGGAAAATCTGGATATTCTATGAAGCTGTAGTTGAAATATATTTGTTAAACCAATATTAATAAAATCTCTTCCATTGACAACAGAGAAAGAATGTCTGAAATTCCAGTTAGATAAATCTAAAGTGGGAATTCTGAAGCTCTTGAGGCAAATCTGCTGCTGTCAGATCCTCTGTTGACTGCAGCAGAATGAGTCAGTTTACACCAGATGAGCAGAAGCCTTTTGGGCTCTCATCTAAGCTGAACCACTGATTTATGGCATGACACTGGTAGTCTCTTTGACCTCTTTATATGCCATCCGTCCTGCTAAGGAGCAGGGGAGGGGGGAGTGCTGGACCTTCCTGGAAACCAGATGATAGACCCAAATAGACTTTCCCTAGGCAAAATAAAACATTTCAGAGTTAGATTTCTTGAGAGAGGCTGATAGGTTGGCCTTGTAATTCCCGATACATTACCATTACATGTTTTCCGGAGCTCAGCTCCCTGTGCAGCTGAGGTTCATGCCACACATAACTAACCACATTTGTTTTGCTGCCAGGGGACCTCCCTTGCTACGGAGATGGGGAATGGCTTTAGCCTACAAAAGAGAGCCAGTTGAACTTTGCAAGGAGTCAGTATTGTGAGCCTATGACCTTTCATATGAAGTACTTAGAGGGCAACAGAGGGGTAGCAGAGTCTGGGGAGAGAGTCTTCACCTAAGCATTGGAAATAAAGGGAGACAAATCATTTAAATTTAAAAATACAGCAAATGCTGTATTTAACAAATACTTGTTAAATAGACAGCGAATGTGTGATTCTCATTTAGAGCAGAGAACAGAGTAGTTCAGGTTCAGCATTAGTGATTTGAACTACCAAACAGGCAAGATTTTCCTTACAAAACCATCTGAGACAAAAGGTGATCATAAATAATCAGCTAAAGTAGCTGCATTTTGCTCTTTGCTTTGCTTCCTAAAGTTGCCAAATATTTTAAATTATGTGTATAACTTTTGTGATGCAGATTGTTATGTCCACCGGGAGATGTGCTCAGGCTTTCAAATTCATTTCCTCCAGCCCTTTTACTTTGGTCTGAGCCCAAAAGTGTTTTATGGGCCTCACTGGTAGAGGTAATGGGAGTCTGTAGATCAGGTCATGCAGGCTGCATTACACCAGACACAAGTCAGACACGCAGAAGTGTGCAGAACAGACTTGGAGTCTCCAAGACGCAGCAGAAGTACTTGAGTCTCTAACGCTACGGAGTGATTTAAGCACTGTTTAAATCAGCCTGTGTCACCACTTGGGGCAGGTTCCTCAGCTCAGCAAAGCTGAGCTTCAGCAGGGAAGATCCTCCCAGAACATTAACTTGATTTTTGGCTGTGGCCCCCAGTCTGGGTCCATTAATTCTCAGGAGTCTGTGAATCCACTCTGAAGGCTCTGCAGAAATAATGAGGTATTTTCAGTAGGTTTATGTTTGCTATGTAGATATCCACACCTCCACCAAAATCCATGGATTACAAAGTTTGATTCAAGACTTTGCTCCCATATATAACAATTTGATACTAACACTTTGCAGTCCCTTTTTCACAGATAGATTTTATCTACAGGTTCAGAACACTTTTCCAATGCTCACTAAGCAACCCTCTCCTGCTAAAAGCTCACTGGAGTTATTCTGTAATATTTAAAATTGTGTGAAAATTCAATCCTGCCTGATTATCCTGAGGCATTACTCATGTAAATCAGACTCTAAACAGAAAAAGATCTTAGTCTGAGGAGGATGCAGGAGCAAAAATACAAGACAATGGGCAGTGAGAACACCAAAAATGAAGCAGATTATTTGACAAAATAAAAGACTGGAGGAGAGGGAAGAAAGACAGGACAGAAAAGAAGAAAATCTAGAAATTAGCCTGTAAGATGAGAAAGTCACATCAATTCTCTCTACACCATCTCTTTTAGCTTGGAAGACAGCAAGGACAAGGGCTCCAAACATTGCCCAGGTGTGGTGGCAGTGGCTGTGAGGTGGCATCTGGCAGCCAACCCAGCCAGCCCTGCAGGAGCTCTGCAGCCGTGTGAGTCCTGAGGCAGGGACCAGACCCTCTGCAAAATGCCAGCCACGTGACCAGAATAAAAAGCCCCAACAAGAAAGCACAAACAAAAAAAGTGACTGAATTTAAAGCAGGTAAGTGCCCTGCTTGGAAAAGGCCCATAACTGCCCCAGGAATCCCAAATATATCCTTCAACACAAACTATGCAGCCCCAAGGAAGCACAGAGCAGTCAGAGATGGAGGAAACCTGGAAGAGCCTGGTTTTCCAAGACAGCAGAATAGTGGTTTCAGAGCGCTCATTTTAGCCAAACAAGGGAGCTGCATCTGCTCTGGCAAATAATTTGATTGTACAGCTCCTTCTAGAGAGTGAACAGAATGTCAGCAGCACAAGGAGTCACCATTCCCAAGGGCATCTTTCTGATGGCTGCTTCAATACCCTGGTGTTTTTAGACACACACACACACACACACAAAATGATCCCTGAGACATCAGAGAGGGCAATGGCCATGGCAGAAGAGAAAATGCAGACAGCCAGTCTGGGGGTGGGATCATCTGAAAAAGTGCTCAGAAACAAAACCTATTTCAGAAGGATTTTGGCTTGTCAGGAGCAGAATTAATGACAAAGAAACAGCAATTAGCATGATTTTAAATATTCCTCTAAAATACGCTATAAATCGTTTTGCCCTTGGGAGAGCCAGAACAAAAGATGAGCATAAAACTGCAGGCAAACTGCAAGTCTCCATCTCACTGCAGGCAGATGGAGTTATTCAGTATATCTTCTACAGTCTTCTCTTGGCTATAAGGAAAAGAGGGGGGAAAATGCTGCCAAAACTTTCAGTCAATATTTACCTCTTGGGTTAATAAATTGTGATCCTGACCTCAATAAAAGTCAATATCTTCTGATTATTATACTCAGGCACCTTTTTATTTGTACTCACTCACTGTATAATGAGTCACCCTTTTCCACTGGCAACTTCACTTTCATTTTGAATGTCTGAATTGAACAATCATTTATACTCCAAAGGCATAAGACAAAATTACTATAAACTAGAGCAGTGAAATGTGGACATAGGTTGCTATTTCCAGTGAATGAGCAAGCTTGGGCAGGGGGCGGGCAGAAGGGATCAAGGATTAAGTACAAAAAATAGCTGGTTTAAATCCTCTTTTAAATACCTCTGAGTGAAAAGGAGCAGAGAGAGGAAAGCCCTGAACTGTGATATTAAATACAATTAGGCTGCAAGCATGGCAGGAAAGAAAAGGCAACAATCTGGCCTGAATAGTAAACTTATTTTAAGGGAACATTAGCAGGTTTTCTCCCTGAAATAAGCAAAAGCAACACTAGAAAATAAATGCCAAGGGCAACATGTATGAATTCACACGCTTTGCAAGCTAAGCCACAAAGACAGATCTGAACGAAAGTCACCACACACTTGCTGCTTCATTAGAGGTGGACTAGGCCAGAGCTGGAGGGAGAAAACTCAGGGTTTTTATTCTCATAATTATGTAATGTTTTATATAATACCACAGGTGTGCACTGTGCTTTCCTGAAAGAAATCAAAGCACAGCCTCCCCCAGCAAGATCAAGAATCAGCTAGAATCATATTTTTGCTCTTCAACTTCTCATTGTTTGAACATCCCCCACTGACTATAATAAAAATGTTCTTTGGGCTTACAAGGCTTGTGATACTGGAAAGATTTTCACCCACATAACCCACTAATTCCATTTCTTTTTAAAAAAGTAAGTAACTTTACCAGTTTAAGTTTGTCTGGCTCAACATTATTCTACTATTAATCCCACTCTGGCAAACAGTGGTGAGAGCAGCTTAAATCTCTAGCTTAAACACAGTAATTTTTGAATAGTGGAAAATCAGAAAGAGCAAATTATGTTCAAATCAATCATGATCTGTCTTTGTGAACACTAATAAGCCCCATATAAATCACCCTAGCATATTTCTTCTAAAAAACACATTATAGATAGGCATGGCACTATTCTGACACCATATTACTTTGTATTGTAAATAAAAAATAGTTCAGTATGACCAAAGAAAGCAACTTATGGGAAAATTAGTGCAGAAGCACGATTTTCAAACTGGAACAGAAGCTGTCATTTTCAGAGGGGACTTTCACCCCAGTGTTTATTGGTTGGATATGTATTTTTGTATTATCTGACAATACTGTGCTTAAATTGTATATATTCAAAAAGGTGTATCCCATTCAGAAGCAGCAGAGTTAACCGGCATAAGCTTCAGGAAAAGGATGCCATAGTAAGTAGATTTT